CCCGATGTGCAGAACGAATAGCAAATATGGCAGGAGACCAGCTTGGCTTAACAGTGAAATCTTTGGTGAGCTTAAACACAAAAAGGAAGCTTACAAAAAGTGGAAACTTGGACAGATGACTAGGGAGGAGTATAAAAATATTGCTCGAGCATGCAGGGGTGTAATCAGGAAGGCCAAAACACGACTGGAGTTGCAGCTAGCAAGGGAAGTGAAGGGTAACAAGAAGGGTTTCTACAGGTATGTTAGCAACAAGAAAACAGTCAAGGAAAGTGTGGGACCCTTAATGAATGGGGGCGGCAACCTAGTGACAGATGATGTGGAAAAAGTTGAAGTACTCGATGCTTTTTTTGCCTCGGTCTTCACAGACAAGGTCAGCTCCTACACTGCTGTCCTGGGCAACACAGTATGAGGAGGAGGTGAGCAGCCCTCAGTAATGAAAGAACAGGTTAAGGGCTATTTAGAAAAGCTGGACATGCACAAGTCCATAGGTCCAGATCTAATGCATCTGAGGGTGCTGAGGGAATTGGTGATGTGATTGCAGAGCCATTGGCCATTATCTTTGAAAACTCATGGTGATCGGGGGAGGTCCTGGATGATTGGAAAACAGCAAATATAGTGCCCATCTTTAAAAAACAGAAGAAGGAGAACCTGGGGAACTACAGACCGATAAGCCTCACCCCAGTCCCTGGAAAAATCATGGAGCAGGTCCTCAAGGAAACCATTTTGAAACACTTGGAGGAGAGGAAGGTGATCAGGAACAGTCAACATGGATTCACCAAGAGCAAGTCATGCCTGACCAACCTGATTGCCTTCTATGATGAGATAACTGGCTCAGTGGATATGGGGAAAGCAGTGGACGTGATATATCTGGACTTTAGCAAAGCTTTTGACATGGTCTCCCACAGTATTCTTGCCAGCAAGTTAAAGAAGTATGGATTGGATGAATGGACTATAAGATGGATAGAAAGCTGGCTAGATTGTCAGGCTCAACGGGTAGTGATCAACGGCTTGATGTCTAGTTGGCAGCCGGTATCAAGCGGAGTGCCCCAGGGGTCGGTCTTGGGGCTCGTTTTGTTCAACGTCTGTATTAATGATCTGGATGATGGGATGGATTGCATCCTCAGCAAGTTCACAGATAACACTAAGCTGGGGGGAGAGGTAGATATGCTGGAGGGTAGGGATAGGGTCCAGAGTGACCTAGACAAATTGGAGGATTGGGCCAAAAGAAATCTGATGAGGTTCAACAAGGACAAGTGCAGAGTCCTACACTTAGGACGGAAGAATCCCATGCACGCTGCTATAGGCTGGGGACCAACTGGCTAGGCAGCAATTCTGCAGAAAAGGACCTGGGGATTACAGTGGACGAGAAGCTGGATATGAGTTAGCAGTGTGCCCTTTTTGCCAAGAAGGCTAATGGCATATTGGGCTGCATTCGTAGGAGCATTGCCAGAAGATTGAGGGAAATGATTATTCCCCTCTATTTGGCACTGGTAAGGCCACATCTGGAGTATTGCATCGAGTTTTGGGGCCCCCACTACAGAAAGGATGTGGACAAATTGGAGAGAGTCCAGCGGAGGGTAACGAAAATGATTAGGGGGCTGGGGCACATGACTTATGAGGAGAGGCTGAGGGAACTGGGCTTGTTTAGTCTGCAGAAGAGAAGAATGAGGGGGGATTTGATAGCTGCTTTCAACTACCTGAAGGGGGGGTCCAAAGAGGATGGAGCTAGGCTGTTCTCAGTGGTGGCAGATGACAGAACAAGGAGCAATGGTCTCAAGTTGCAGTGGGGAAGGTCTAGGTTGGATATTAGGAAAAACTATTTCATTAGGAGGGTGGTGAAGCACTGGAATGGGTTACCTAGGGAGGTGGTGGAATCTCCATCCTTAGAGGTTTTTAAGGCCTGACTTGACAAATCCCTGACTGGGATGATTTAGTTGGTGTTCGTCCTGCTTTGAGCAGAGGATTGGACTAGACGACCTCCTGAGGTCTCTTCCAACCTTAATCTTCTATGATTCCATGATTATTCCCATTTTACAGAAGGGGAAATTGAGGCAAAGAGAGGGGAAATGACTTGCCTAAGGTCACCCAGCAGGACAGTGAGAGAGCTGAAATAAAACCTTAGTCTCCTATGTTCCAGTCCTGTGCTCTATCCACTAGACCAGGGGCGGGCAAACTTTTTGGCCTGGGGCCGCATTGTGTTTCGGATATTGTATGGAGGGCCAGTTAGGGGAGGCTGTGCCTCCCCAAACAGCCAGGCATGACACGGCCCGCACCCCGTATCCCCCTCTGCTTCTCGCCCCCTGACGGCTCGCCCCCCGGGAGTCCTGCCCCATCCAACCCCCCCGTTCGCTGACAGTCCCCCCAGGACCCCTGCCCCATCCACCCCTCCTGCTCCTGTCCCCTGACGGCTCCCAGAACCCCCGCCCCTGACTGCCCCCCGCCACCCCATCCAACCCCCCCTCTCCTTCCTGACTGCCCCCCCAGGACCCCTGCCCCCATTCAACCTCCCTGTTCCCTGCCCTCTGACTGCCCCGACCCCTATCCACAACCCCACCCCCTGACCACCACCACCCCGAACTCCCCTGCCCTCTATCCACCCCCCACACACTCCCTACCCCCTTACCGCGCTGCCTGGAGCACCGGTGGCTGGCAGCGCTAGAGCCGCGCTGTCCAGAGCACCAGGACAGGCGCATGGCTGGAGCCATCCACGCCACTGCACAGCACAGAGCACCGGGTCAGGCCATGGCTCTGCAGCTGCGCTGCCCCAGGAGCTTGCAGCCCCGCCGCCCAGAGCATTGCGCCAGTGGTGGGGCGAGCTGAGGCTGCGGGGGAGGGGGAACAGCAGGGGAGGGGCCAGGGCGATCCTCCTGGGGCAGGAGCTCAGGGGCCGGGCAAGAGGGTCCCGCGGGCCGTAGTTTGCCCACCTCTGCACTAGAGCATGCCAATATCTATTTTGTGTTGCAATGGTGCTAAGAGGTCCCACTGTGCTAGGTGCTGTACATATATAATTAATGGGAGATAGTCCCTGCCCCACAGAACTTACAATCCAGATGTACAAGGCAGACAAACGGTGAGAAAAAGAAAGTTATTATTATTCCCATTTTACAGATAGGGCACTGAGGCATAGAGAATAAGAGACTTGCCCATTGTCATACAGGAAGCCTATGGCAGACCTGAGAAATGAACCCAGATCTCCTGCGTTCCAGTGCACTAGGGGACCACCTGACCGTCCTTCCAAAAACTCATTTAAAATGATCATGACCACCAACCCATATCAAATACATAGCAAAGTTATTTATGCATCCAAACTCCTGTTTATCTGTATAACTTCCACATCCCCTGACTTAATAAACAATGTTTATGCTGTACTGTATTATGTTGCAGTGTTGTACTATTCTATTGCATGCTGGTCTATTGTCATGTTGTACTATTGTGTGGCATTGTTTTATACATTTGCATTAGGTTGTATTTAAATCAAATTTAAAATACTTCATTGGCATACCACGCAACTGTTGCCAATGTGCAAAAAGTGGACAACAGTTAGGCAGCCGGTATGCTGAAACCACAGCCTAGCATGCTGACCAATATCATCTCTTTGTTGTCACATATGATCTCTGTGAAAGAAAAGTCTGCGGGGGAAATTGTTTCAGGCCATCAAAATGTTTTTTCCAACAAAATTGAAATGTTTCATCTTCCTTTTATTTTACATATATATATTATTGTATTATACTATATAATACAACATTTAAAAAATCAATATGAAAAGTTGTTTCAAAAGAAAAAATTGAAATATTTTGTGCTGAAAATATACAAATAGGACATTTTAACATTGTTGGATTTTTTCCCCCTTTATTTCTCCAAAACAAAATTTCAGCAAAATTGATATGATTTCACAAAGCGTTTCTGTTTTGACAAACTGCATTTTCTGACAGTTCCATCCAAGTTTTTATGATCATCTCTAGTCTCAGTGTTTCCTTGTGTCCCCCTTCTCTTTCTGTCTCCACCTGTTGCCTCTTGTCTTATACTTAAATTATGGATTTATTTAAGGAAGGGACTGTCTTTTTCTTCTGTTTGTACAGTGCCTAGCACAATGGGATCCAGGTCCATGACTGGGGCTGCTAGGTGTACAGTAGTAAAAATTAATAATAGTGGACAAAACTCTTGTTTCTCTGCCAGGTACAATATATCAAGTATCTACCCAAAATAAGGGCATTACAGTGATTGGTATTCCCTGTCTGTGTTTAGCATGACTGTTCTTTTCTGTTCCAGAGGCAGTGCTATATGGCTTACTGGTATCTATGTCATTCTTGTTTGTGTGTTCATCGTTGTATGTATTATATTTTACTTGGTTGTTGTCAGTGAACTATGTTGCAATGATCATTGCAGGATATTGCACTCCATAACTGGGTGGCTCTGCTGTGTTTTTCTTCTAACCACGTTACTACTGTACTTTTATGAACTATCCAGTCATATTGTATTGCTGCACTCCGCCTATTCGTTTTATTGTACTGTGTGGCTATATGGTATTTTAGTACACCCTGTTTTAATACTATGACGTGTTGTGCTGTTGTATTCTATTGCATTGTTCTGTCCTGTTGTGTTCTCCTGCATCTCGCGGTGCTATTGTATAGAATTACGCTGCCCTGCTGTACTGTGCCTCGCAGTTTTAGAAATAACCCCAAACTGCTCGCTGTGCTGCTGTGACCCCTTCTCAACCCACTCCGCACTGCTGCTTATTGGTCATGCACTTTAGCCACAGCCCCTGAGACTGTCTTCAGCCCGGCCACTGCGGAGTCCCATTCAGCGTCAACCACCTTGATTGCCGCTGTCAGACCGCGCCCCTTTGGGCAGGCTGATCTGCATAGCCTCGCCCAGGAGGACTGCTTATATCCAATGGGAAGCCCTGCCTGCCTGTGGGGGCGGGGTCCCGGGGTGGAACTTCGCTTCTCGTGGGTCCCTCCAGGGCAGGAGGGAGGGTGGGTGCGGGCCAGCTGGCCAGTCTGTGGGGCTGTGTGGGGCAGAGCAGAACAGCCCTGACTTGTTCAGGAGCCCGCACCAGGATCGCTGCGGCTGGGAAGCAGGTAAAACGGGACATGTTTGCCTGGCACCTGATGCCTTTTGGTACTTGCCTGTCTCATGGGTAGGGCAGTTAATTGCCCATTGATCATCTCTCTGTGTGTGAGCTGCCTCGTCTTGTCTGTACTTCCCACCCAGCCTGCCGGGGCGTCTGAAGTTACTCTGCATCTCTAGATGCTAAACAGCCAGTGAATGCCCGATCCGTAGCGGCTGGAATCGGTATGTGGCGCCCCAATCGGTGTGTCTGCCGGGACTCCGTGTGTCCATCCCGGTCCGTGGGTTGCTTCCACTCTGGCTGGGTCTCTCTCTCCGGCGTGAGGCGGTCTCGGGCTGGTTCAGGCTGCAGAGTCGCTGTGCTGTGTACATGCCTGGGCATAGCCCAGCGGGCTGGAGCATCCCTCGCACGTTCCCGTTCGTGTTTCAGGGGAGGGAGGGGCTCCAGTGGGCGAGCCTCTCTCTGTCTCAGCTAGACATGATCCTTGTAGGGAGGAAAGAAGCGGGCTGCCAGGAAGGATCGGTCTTTTTTATTAGCTTTTCCTTGTAAGTTTCCGCGCTCAGAGTCTAGGTGATGATTGTCCGGTACCAAGCTGCAAAGCAGGGCCTCCGTTTCTTCCCGGGAGCGAGGGGGTAACGGATCTGCACTAGCCGTGCAAAGGGTCCGGAGAGGAAGGAAACTGGTACTGACACGTGGTTCGCTGGGCAAGTCAGGGCTTGCAGGTACAATCTTCAGCCTCCCACTCCCCGCAGATGGGGTTTCATCAGATCGCTTTACAGACGGTCCAGATATTTTGATCCCTGCAAACGCAGACTTTGGAATAAGCCGTGGAATACTTTGCCTGCATGCCAAAGAGTCACTGGTAGGTGACACCACTGTAGTCTGGAAGGGCGCGCTGCAAGTTCCGACACTTTAATTTAAGCGATTGCGGGGGTGGCATGCCTGATTATAAAACACAGCAGACACCAAAGTGTTTAGAGCGCTGAGCTGTAGATTTCAAGGCTGAGATTGCAGCCAACGATAAATATGAGTGAAGATTACAAATGAATAATCTTATTGGTTATTTATTATAAACTATGCGATTGAGTTTAGTATTAGCACCAGCAAATATTAATGAGTACAAGCAACTTTTTCCATTATTGTAATACTTTATATTAAAGTTTAATAAATAATGAGCTAGCAGTTGATATAGTAGTTGATAATGATTTCTTTAGTTCTTAAAAATGCATTTCCTGAGCCCTGTGTGTATAATATTTATGGTATCTGTGGGTGTGCGCTTCATCTGTAAATATTTTAAATACTTCTGTCTAGCAACTGACTAAGCATTTTTATGTACATTTGGAGTAATTCTTAGTAAGTACAGATTAGAAATGGTTTTATTTGTAAAATTAATTATAAATGAGGCAGTAATTTTTTCCTGTGAGTTGAGTATGAGTGACAAGGTCAGTGGTATTATGTGTTAGACATTAAAGAGGACAAAAGCAAAAAGGAGTAACAGGGGGTACAAACAATTGTTACAATAATCAAGAAACTGGCCAGTTAATAATGGATAGGTCAAGGGGGAAAACAGACAAAAAAGAGGCCAAAATTTTCAAAAGATACCAGTGATTTGGGGAAGTCAGCTTGAGACACTCTAAAAAGGCCTGGTTTTTAGAAGATGGATGCTCAGATTGGTCATCCAAAAATTTGAGGCACTGAAAAATACTCAAACAACCCCCAACACAGACTAGTCACATTTGGAAATCTTGACCCCAGTGTATAATTATGTATATAAAACATATATATATTGTATATCAAAATTATACATATTATGGCCATGATCCTGCAAACACTTATGCACAAGCTAAACTGTATGTACGTGAGCAGTCCCATTGATTTCAAGGTCTCAATTGTATCTCTTTCCTTCCTATATTGTTTGTCATCTTAAGTCTTGATCCTGCATTGTGATTTGCTAACATGGCTCTCTGCACTCCTGGGGAATCCCACTGAATTAAACAGAACTTCACATAGGTGCGGAGTTCTGTATTAATCAGATCCCGACTTATGATTGGGGCTTCAGATTATAAATTCTTTTGGGGATGATATAGGTCTTCCTATGTGTTTGAATGGCATTTCGCATGCTGTGAGCACTACAGGAATCCAAGTAATAATAATACAGTAACTCCTGCATTGGGTATTATTACAGTATTTTAAAGTCTTATTTTATTTGCTGTTAGAACAAATTGAAAGAAACAAACAGAAGTCTAAAATGAACATTACGACAAGAGTGGGAACATAAAATTGTCATAATATCAGAGAGGTTTAAAATCAGCACAGTGCGCACTCCCCTTTTGATATTGGGGAGTTTTCTTCTAAAAACAAACAGAAAACAAGCTAAGAGTTTTGAAGTAGGACACATTACACACTTATTAGACTTTTTGTGACTTGGAGAAAGTCTACAAGTTCACTGAAAAACATGTTTATTTCCAAACCAGGCTAAAAGATTCAGCCACTTTTTACTTATGACGAGCAATACCTTATTCTGCAAGTAACCCTGTTAAAATCAGTGGGACTGTTTACAAAATAAGGTACTACTTGATATGAGTAAAGATAGAAGAATCTGGCTCAGAGAGTCCTATATATTAAGCACAATATAAATGCTTGCAGAACAAAATGAATATTATTGAGTGAATGGGGAACAGAAGATATTGGCACTAAAGGCAGGGACTTGACTTAATATCAGGGGGAAATGCTAGACATGCAGGAATATTTTCCAGGTTAATATTTTGGGATTTAAAAAAAAACATTTTCTCCTGTTGCTTTTATTTAACATTGTCATTCTTTCTTTTTTAAAGCAACATATAAACCACATGATGGCATTTAATCTGGCTGACCTGTTTTCCACTGCCCAATTCTACCAGCTGCCAACTTCAGATATGCAGTAAGTATTTTATAGCAAATTTTCCCATTCTGGTATATTGCAAGTAGTGCTGTATGGTACCAGTAAAGACTAGGTAAATCTTCAATGATCCCTTAACTCTAATATGTTGACCTGATAATCCAGTAATGCTAAACCTGATGCCACTATCATGGTCCACTGAAATCCCTTTGCCACTTTGAAAATGTAGACAGAAGCCTTGGAATATCCATTTGGAACAGCAGGAGCCATCTCAAAAGATGGCAAGTGTTTATCAAACAAATATAAATTTTCTTCACTGTGTAAAGATTGTAGGTCAGACTAGGTTATAAACCAAAAAAACACACCCTGGATCTTCCTGAAAAGAATTTGAGTGTTGCTATCAGTTCCTGGATTTTTATTTCAATTCACTGCTTTGGATATTTATAAATCAAGCAGCTACTGGGGGGAAAAAAAACAGTTTTCAATTGAATATGAAGTCTGACCAATGTTCAAGGAAAGTGCAAGTTAGGTAGGGCCTAATCCAAACACTCCCATTGACTTCAATGGGCTTTTAATCAGGGCCTCAGTATGTAGTTGTAGATCTATGTACTACAAGGTGCCAGTCTAGCTTGTTAAGTTCTCTGTGAAATATCCTATTGTCTAGTTAAAAGGCTAGACTGTGAATGGTCCTTGCATGGGCACACAGTGGTGGAGTGCAAGAATGAAGCTTCCTCCCCCTTTTGCAGCTACCTAAGGGCCTCCTATACCAGCAGTCTCTGCAGTCCCTGTGCTCTGGGGAGTGTAGGGCCTTGTGCTTCCCCTGAGAAGCATGATGCTATAAGAGAACGGTCAGGATGAGGCACAGTCATGGGCCAGCCTCGCATCTGCACTGGCCTGCGGAGTATGGCTGGTGCGCCTGGGTGACAATCAGATTCATCCACTGTGGTCACCGAGCCATCCCTGAGAGGTTGTGTCTCCTGAGATACAATCTCGCTGATGCTGCCCTGCCTCACCCACTCAACAGGGCCCTGGCATAAATGCCACAGTCTAACCCAGTGGGATAAGAATGGTGGAACTGCAGAAAACTATGGTATTCTACATTAATGGTCCAAACCACTCCATCTTACAATAGTTCTAGTGCAGTATTTTGGGTGGGTATTACACATACAAGGGAGTGTTTAAATAGGGGAAAGCTGTTTTCACTGAGATTTTTAACAAATCATGAAATCATTTTGATTCAATAATTTAACAGGTTTTATACACCAAGTTCATAGATTCCCCTTAACACAGAACAATGACTGTAGATTGTTTCCCTATAAAATCAATGAGCAGGCTGATACCGTGAGATGTTTAGGTCCCTATCCGGAAAATGAGATTTTATTCTGGCAGTCACCTCGAGATTCTATACAGCTTCTGCAGAAGTGGGAGAATTTCTCATTTTAACCTAATCTGGACCAGATGTTTTAACCACTTACTAGAATCTCAAGGTGGCTTTTTATTCAGGGCGCTCATAAAGTCATAGAGTTTAAGACCACCAGATCATCTAGTCTGACCTCCTGCATATCACAGGCCATCAGCACCCCCAAACTAAATCCAGCATTCAGAACTAGACGCAAGTATCACAGCCCACAGGAGACTGGACTATTATGTGTCACAAGCAGAGACTAGGAGGAACTGAGGTGACCCACACCAGAAATTCAATAAAGCTTTCAATGGCCATGTATTGCTAAACTGGATGAGGACCAAGGAGCCATAGATACAAAGGTTAGAAAAGATTATGCAGGATAGAACTGTATTTGGGAGGCCTACTCCCTACATCATTCCTATTATTGTCTCACCTTGCCTATTCTTTTTTATTACTATTTATTGTTTGTATTAGGGTGGCACCTGGGGTCCCCCACCAAGATCAGGTCCCCATTGTTCTTAAGACACCCTAGTGAATGGTGCCTTTCCACTTCACTTGGGAATTTGCTCTTATTCCGTTTGTTTTTATTCATAGATATGGGCCCAAATCAAAGCCTCCGTTTCAAATTCCATATCTGGGTCCATATCTGAACGTTTTACCTCTACAATGGACAGACGCAAAACCATGGATCTAAACAGTGCTGAACTTGGGGCTTCAAACGCTGAGCTTATCCAAATTTCAGGGTGTTTGGAGTCAGCCTATTATGGAGACAAATTTCAGATAGGAACTTGGATTCAAATCTGTGATTGGTTTATATTTAGGAGGATGGTTCAGGCCCATTTCTATTTTTCCTAATGGAAATGGACCGTAACTAGACATTAATATTGAGCCTAAACATTTCCTCCTTTAGCTTCAGCCCATAGCTCCCTGACCACCATCTTCTGAGACTATGACAAACTCTCTTTATTTACTCTATAGTGTCAGTATCCTGGAAGCTATTTATGGACTGTGATCTCATCTCTCCTGCGATCTTTGCTTTACTGGGCTAGATAAATTTAGCACCCTTAATTTCTCGTTGTCGTATGGCTTTCTTTGCAGCTTATACGGCTCAGGGTATGTGAGTTGATAGTAATAACTAATATCTTGCTTTCTGAGCTTATCCAGTGGAGACACCACATCAGATGAGTCCTGATTGTTTGGATAGTGGGAAAAGCCTGCCCAATAGCCCACTTCCAAAGTGCAGTCTACTTTGCATAGGGCTCATGAGAGTGGGAGATCAGACCTGAGCGGGCTGACAAGGCATAACAAGGAACATTTACTGAGGGGCCCTTTTCATTTACAGTTTATAATGGTGGCATAGATAGAAATGGGTTATGACTGGGGGGGAAGAGAAGTGGAGAGTGCTCATATATCTACTGCTGTAACATCATCCTTTCCAGTATGTTACTAGGCCCTACTATGTGAATATTAGCCAGGCTGTCCTTTGACCTGTTCCTAATGAGGCCTGTGGCTGGGCTGACAAAAACTTGTGCTCCACCCATTTTTGAATTGTTTCAAGTTATAACAGTGGCTTCCTTTGAAAGCATCTTTCTCAAGCCCTTTCTACTCTTCTTTAATGTTTAGATTCCAATGAGTCGACCTCATGAGGCAGACACGGCGTTATTAATTCTTTTCCTGATTTGCTGCATGAAGTTATGAGAGAAGTGACATGAAGAGAGGCCCAGTGCTGTTTTTTGCTCTATTTCTTGTCCCCAAGGTAGGAATCCACTTGAAACAAATGAACCAAAACCTCTGCATAATGTGTTTTAATAGTTTCAGTTTGATTTCTGTTGAATTCTCTCTATGTGCTCTGCTCTCTGTAGTCTGCATAATTTGCATGGCCCAAATTCCAAATGAGTTCAGTGGGGGTTGAAATCAATAGAAGTTTTGCCATTGACTTCAGTGGGGCAAGGATTTCACCAAGGAATGCACGTCCGGGCTGCAAGTCTGTAGACTAGCCTTACCTAGTGCCTTTGACTAGTTTGGTTTAGTTTGCAGCTGAGGATTCACATCAGTTTTATGTCTTGTGCTAAGTTCTGGCCATGAATTCCATTCGTTGCGTTAAAATCTTGGGTGGCAGCATGGTGGCCAGTAATATAAAGTGTGGCTTTAGTTCTTTAGAGAACTGATAGTTATCCCTTGCTATGTTCTGTGCCCCATATTATATATCCCCAGATTCCTTCTGCCCCACTGACCCAAGACTGTGTAGTTAACTTATCTTCTCTTGCACTGTTTTCATGCCAAATCACGTGAACACGAGCTCCTCTGAGTGGAGGTATTCGTCAACTCTATACCAACTAAGGCTCTGGATTGAACATCTGCTTTGTGTGCTCCATCCAGTTTGGTACTCTCTGTGGACCTGGATACCACATTGGTGGTACTTTCCACTGCTCCATTTATGCAGATCTTTGTGATGCTTCTAAATTAGGAACAGTCCTACTGTTTAGCAGACCAGGATAACAAGTTATCTGGTCTGGACTATGTACTGACCTTCCATCAGGGAAGCTGCTGACCTGATCTTAAAAATCATCACTGATCAGAGTGTCCAACATGAGTTTGGAAATAATAACTGACCGCACCTCACTTCACTTGTAAATGCCACCAAATGGCACAAGGAATGGGCAGTTCAGCTGCATGACCTACTACTTAAGTCCCTCCTCTGTCTCTGCTTAGCCAGTTGCACCTCATACTGCCCTTTGGGAAGAAGGCATATGGCTTTGCTCTTGCGAAAATGAAGTTTTCCTGGTGCAACACAAGCGTCTATTAAAGTAGGGGTGAGCAACCTGCGGCCCATGGGCGGCACATGGCCCATCAGGGTAATCTGCTGGTGGGCTGCGAGACAGTTTGTTTACATTGACAGTCTGCAGGCACGGCCACCCGCAGCTCCCAGTGGCCCCCGTTTGCCGTTCCCGGCCAATGGGAGCCCACCACTGTACTAAAGCAAATGGGAATTTGGGGTGTGCAAGGAATGCAGGCAAATTTTCCTTCCAATGAGAAAGCTTTGCCCAGTAAAGGACACGCTTGGTTCAGCTCAGGAGTGTTCTGGGACTTGTAGTAACCCCAGTTGTTTCTCTAGGTCCGAGGTGCTGCTCCAAACCCAATGGAATGCCAGGAGAGTGAGTATCTGGACGAGCACAGGAAGTGCGTTCCTTGCAGGGAGTGTGGCCCAGGATGGGAGCTTTCCAAGGTAATTTGGCTGCTCTGGGATGAACCTGGATTGTTGGCACTGGTGGTGCTGGATGAATCCTCTGCTAGCCTTTAGTAGAAGGATAGTATTAGAGCTTTCTCTGATATGGATGTCCGTGCCTTTAAAAAGAACAGAGCTTTATTGGCAAGGGACGTTAGACTATTCCACTGATCATGCTAAGTGATGCAGGGATGGGGATAGGAGAATGGGAAGATGGAAGTACCAATAAGTAAGGAGAGGTTTCAAATTGGTGCAGCTTATTACGTAAACACCAAGGAGAGTCCATCATCTCCAGCTCCCAGGGGAAGTCAAAAATCCCTCTGGCGGATAACTCCAGTGTCCTGGTCAGAGCTATGCAATGTCTCATAGACTTTTAGGTCAGAAGGAACCATCGTGATCATTTAGTCTGACCTCCTGCACATTTCAGGTCACAGAACCTCGCCCACTCTTGAAATAGACCCCTAACCTGTCCTTGTGTGGGTCATTGGCAGCAGGTATCCACCTGGGACCTCTGGCTCTATAAATGAGCCTCTATGCCTAAGCTAAGAAACCTAGCTCTGTTCATCAAGACTATAGACTCATCAACCTCTATATGTGATCCACTCACCACTAGAAGAGGACAGAGCGCCATACTTCATGGGTGTGATTTACACATTCCATTGTGGTTAGTGAGTTTGCTATATATAGCCTTGCCTAGCTCAGGCTCATACTGTTTGATCCCAGCTGCCAGCAAACCCTCTCCTCCCCCCGAGGGCATAGCATTACACCAGCATCCCCCTGGCAGTAAAACAAGTTCTAGTGACTGAGGCAATGTGTGAGCTATTGCTGAATGCAGAATGGCTGCCCTATTTGTTTGCTGCTATCTGCTTCAGTGCAGTGCAAAGATGTGAGATGCCCAGAGTGTGAAAGGCAACTGAGAATTCTCTCACTGAAGAGAAGCCATCTGCCTCTAGAGAACAGAACAGCTTCTTCCCTTTGAGGTTGTGACGGGTTGATTCACAGAAACCCCCTTGGGAGCTGCCACCTGACGTACCAAGACTACCCCTGCTTCTGTTTTCCCTGCCAGCTCAGGACTCCAGCACCCTGTCTTGCTGAGCCAGACACTCCCGTCTGCTCCAACACAGACCCAGGGTCTGAATAACTTGCCCCAAAGCTGCAAGTTTACCTGAAAACAGCTCACAGACGTGTGCTTGTCTTTAGCACTCAGATGCCCAACTCCCAATGGGGTCTAAACCCAAATAAATCCGTTTTACCCTGTATAAAGCTTATACAGGGTAAACTCTTAAATTGTTCGCCCTCTATAACACTGATAGAGAGATATGCACAGTTGTTTGCTCCCCCAGGTATTAATACATACTCTGAGTTAATTACTAAGTAGAAAGTGATTTTATTAAATACAGAAAGTAGGATTTAAGTGGTTCCAAGTAGTAACAGACAGAACAAAGTAAGTCACCAAACAAAATAAAATAAAATGCGCAAATCTATCTAATCAAACCGAATACAGATAATCTCACCCTCAGAGATGCTTCAGTAAGCTTTTTCTCAGACTGGACACCTTCCAGGCCTGGGCACAATTCTTTCCCCTGGTACAGCTCTTGTTCCAGCTCAGGTGATAGCTAGGGGATTCTTCATGATGGCTCCTCCCCTCCTTTGTCCCTCTGGGTTTCCACCCCCCTCCACTGGAAAAGCACCAGGTTAAAGATGGATTCCAGGTCAGGTGACATGATCACATGTCACTGCAAGACTTCATTACCCACTTGCCAGCACACACATATACAGGAAGACTAACAGGTAAACACAGCCATCTGCAGACAATGATCCTGGTTAATGGGAGTCATCAAGATTCCAAACCACTATTAATGGCCCACACTTTGCATAATTACAACAGGCCCTCAGAGTTATATTTCATATTTCTAGTTTTAGATATAAGAGTGGTACATTTATACAAATAGGATGATCACACTCAGTAGATTATAAGCTTTGTAATGATACCTTACAAGAGACCTTTTGCATGAAGCATATTCCAGTTACATTATATTCACTTATTATCATATTTTTATAAAACTATTCTAGTTACATTATATTCACTTCTTATTATGTTTTTATAAAACCATATAGACTGCACAACATCACAGAGGTATCTTCAGATCTGATGCCATTTCTTTGTCTCAGTCATGGACCTGCGCTTGTCTCTTGCAGGAGTGTGGCTATGGTGAAGGAAGGGATGCGCAGTGCACTGCTTGCCCTCCCAGGCGGTTTAAGGACAGCTGGGGGTTCCATGGTTGCAAAACTTGTCTTTCCTGCCCCCTCATCAACCGTGTCCAGAAATCCAACTGCACTGCCACTTCCAATGCAGCCTGTGGGGAATGTCTGCCAGGGTGAGTACAGCTGGCAGCTGGAACACCAGCAGCAGACGCACGTGGGAGGGCATAGGGAGGTGCTGTTCAAAGAGATGATATATACAATTCCCTTATACCTTGTCCTGTTGTTAGAGCATTCTCCACTTACTCTTTGGCAGGTTTTACAGTAAAACCCGGATTGGCGGGCTGCAGGATCTGGAATGCATCCCCTGCACAAAGCAGACTCCTTCCTCTGAGCCTCAGTGTACGTAGCCAGCAGCACTCCAACCTGTTGTCTTTCACTGTGTAACATGTCATGTCACAGGGCATGTGGTGAGCCCTGCAGGATTAACAGGAGGTGGGAGGAGTGGTGGAGTGGAGCAGGCCAGTGATGCATGTAATTCAATATCACCTATCTCCGACAGTGGCCACTGTTACATGCTTCAAATAAAGGCATAAACCCCCATAGTGTAACTAAGGGCAGGTCTGCACTTAAAACACTGAATTGGCACAGCTGCATGGCTGTAGCGCAGGCCTGCACAACTCGTAAAGTGGCGAGGGCCATGTTACTCCAAAGAAAACAGCTGAGGGCCGAACCCCCCCAGCCCCGCTGAACCCCACCCTTCAGCGCCACCCAGCCCCTCCCAAAACAACCCCAACAACCCCTCACCCCAGCGCCACCTGCCCCGCGGAAACAAACCCTCCTTCCCCATGGCTGCCCCACCGAAACAGCGGTATTGAACCTCGGTAATATGTTATAGCGGGCCTCTAAGGTAGTATAATTAAGGTAAAAGAAAAATGTCTTTTTGCTAGAAGTAGAATAAGATCTTCCCCCCACTTTGTAATCAATTGCCCTGTTGAATGAATGAGGTGTGACTGAGGAAGGCATGGAAGGCAGGCACCTTCAGACAGCTGCAACCTTTGGAGAGGGGATGGGAGCCAGACCAGATCAGTAGAACAGGTCAGCCACTGACTCGCCGCTCATCTCCTCAGCCCCCCTCCCACGGCTCGCCTACTCACCCCTCACCACTGCCCGCCCACTTGCCTTCTCAGTCCTCCAACCCCCTGGCTCGCCTACTCAGCCCCCCTCCCTTGCCGCTGGCTCACCTGCCCGCCCGCCTCCTCAGCCTCCCAAACCCTGGACTTGCCTACTCACTGCCCGCCCGCTCGCCTCCTCAGCCCCCCCCCTCACCTGTCACTTGCCTACTCACCCCCTGCGGGCCACACGGTGAGCCCACGCGGGCCGCATGTTGTGCAGGCCTGCTGTAGCGCTTTAATGAGGACGCTCTACGCTGACGGGAGAGTTCTTTCCTGTCAGCTTCATTAATCCATCTCCGTGAGAGGCGGTAGCTGTGTAGGCGGGAGAAGCTCTCCCGCCAACATAGCGCTGTCTACACCGGTGCTTAGGTCGGTATAATTATGTCGCTTGGGGTGTGGATTTTTTACGCCCTTGACTGATGTAGTATACCAAAGTAATTCTGTAATGTAGACTTGCCCTAAGTGTGCAAAGGAAAATTCCCTCCTGACCCCCACTGCCGATCATCTTTTCCCTGAAACATGAAAATTGAGGCTTTTTGTTGTTTCTGTCCTCATGAGTGTCTTTGCAGAGGCTGTGCTTATTCATTTAAATGTCTAGTCCTTGTGTTGAAGTTTATTACGCTAGCTGTAGCAGAAGAATTCTGCCCCAGTGAGTTCTGACCAAGGAAGTACTGACATAATATATCTGGAGGGGAGGGGCAGGTGGGGCCAGCAGTGCCATGATATGTGGTCAGACACAGCAGCTCAGCCATTTTCTATCCTGTAATGTTTTGTTATTTCTGTTGTTAAAAATCAAGAAAAATTTAGGAGCCTAATTCCCACTGACAGTCACAGAAAGTTCATGGATTTAGATTCCTTAGAGCAACAGGAGGTGGGAGGAGTGGTGGAGTGGAGCAGGCCAGTGGTGTATGTAATTCAATATCCCCTATCTCTGACAGTGACCACCTAAGAGTGACTTAGGTGTCTAAGTCCATTAACTTTCTTTGACTGTCCGTGGGAATTAGGTGCCTAAGCCCCTTAGGCAGTGTTCCCTCTAATTTTTCCCACCCATGTGCGGAATGAATTTTGTTATGTGCGCCGCGCTGCCCCGGCTGCAGCTGGGTCCGGGCCGGGCCACCCTGGCCAGATTCAGGCCAGGGTAGGGGCACCCAGGCTGCTGCAGGTCCGGGCCGCGGCATAGTTGGGGCTGGGGGGCCGTCCCATCCATGGCAGGTTGGGGGCCAGGCTAGGTTGGGGCACCCCCCCCAGCAGCAGCAGGTCCCCGGGCAGGTTCCCTGAGCGCCTGTGCGGTGCTAAATAGGATGCTGCGTGGCCATGCAGCCGCGCAGCTTACAGGGAACTTAGCCCTTAGATGCTTTTAATTTCCACGTTTAGATCTCTTGTCCTAAGGGACATCTGTGTGTATGTGTTTAATATCCTTGTAACTGGTCATGTACTAATCACTCCAGGCTGGATCCGTGCTGCCCTGGTCCTGTCTGCTTTCTTCTCTGTAGCATCCTGCAGCACACCATGTGCTCTGACCTCTTTCTTTGGCTGGTATGTTTGCAGGCAGCTCCAGGACTACCCTGGTGAAGGTAGTGATCCCCACAGTACCTCCCCAGGACACCGCCCTCCTAGTGCTAACCAGCAGTGCGCTAGTCATCATTGTGTTGGTGCTGCTGGCACTCGCTATCATCTGCTGCAAGCGCTTCTGGAAGAGCCAGTGTCAGCAAGGTGAGTGAATGCAATGCAGCATCCCTCTGGTCCTCCTTCCCCTGCCCCTTCTTCCCTAGAAATAGCAGGGAAGAGGAGGAGGATGTAAGGGCTCAGATTCAAACAGAGTGCCAGATGGGGCCAGTGAGGTTGTCACTTTTGAGGTTAGTGCTTTCTCTTCTAGGGTTTTCCCAGGTTGGGTCAAGACTGAGGAGATTTTGGCAGTTGTGGAGGTGAGGGGGCCAGGACTGGAGCAGCAGAGGATGAAGCAATTAAGAGGATGAGGAAAACAGCAAGGAGGAGTAGGTTAGAGAGATACGGTTGAGGTGCATTGGCACAGTTGCATGGGGAACAGTGCACAGCACTAGCCCTCTCCATGCCAGGCAGTGAAGCCTGATTGCTCCTGAATTTTACAGTCACCAAATAAATAGCCATACTAGATGGCCTAGTGCATTCTGGGAAAACAAGCCAGGTCTTCGCTGGTATCAGTTGCTCTTTATCCTTTCAAGTGTTTCTGAGGACCCAGAGTTTCTCGGCCCAGAGGGTGATGTTCCGGGCCTCAGCCATGCCAAGCAGGTTTCCCTGTGAGGAACAGATGTCTAGTCCCTGCTGCTTGGGTGTGAAGAACCTGAGCCCTTGCTCCGGGCAAGCCGAAGGTAACTTCTCTCATTGGTCTGCTGCTTTAGCTTGGGTCTGGGGGGAAGGGCAGGCTGGGCTGTGACCCCCACACCCTAATGTCTGCTCAGTTTCCATTCCTCAGGCAGGAAGGAGCACCCCGTGGGGGGCGGGGCAGGGAGGTGTCAAAATCGCTGCTGCCGTGTGGTCAGACACTGGGATAATCGAGGTGGACAGAGCACAGTGCCACTAGGAAGCTTCCTCTGGGTGAAAGGTGGAAGCCTGGGGAGGATTCTGAACTCAGAAGACGTTGCACTGGCACTGGGAACATGTAGGTTCCACTCCTCCAGCTTCAGTGTCTTTCTCTCCTAGGGATGTGTGGGTTGGGGAGGAGAGAGTGCTTGGCTGTTGCAGTGGGGGTGACTCTGGAGGGCTGGTGATCGACCCCTGGAAGAGCGGGGAGCCTTGCTTTGCTCAGCAGTGCTCACTGCCACCTCGCGGACAAAAGGCACTGAGTAGCCCTGTCCTGTCTGTTCCTCTGTGGCTGGAGACAGGCAGTGGCAGTGCAGGGCCCCGTGGGAAATGGGGTTTTTAAGGAGTGGCTGACAGGAGGGAGCCCAATCCTCGGCAGGTGGAGAGGCTGGTGGAAGGGGAACCCACATACTTTTAAGCCATGGAGTTTCTGGTTCCAGGTCCCGTTGAACCGGTCCAGTTCATTTCGAATGGTGAAGCCATAGGCCTGCAGATCCCTGCTCTCCAGCCCAATTTGGAAGCGATTGCTGTCAGCCCCAATCCCAAATCCCAGCTGGCGAGGAGTGTCTTGGAGACCCAACCCCTGATAAGGAACTCAGGGTCCAGCGACTGTTCTGCAGGGGGCCCGTCATCCTCAGATGCCAGGCAGGGCACAGCTGGGTTCACAGAGGCCCTGACTCCCCTCTCATCATGTGCCTCAGAGATGCATCCTAAGTGGCCCCATGCCCCGGTGGAGTGCACGGAGCTAGACCTGCAGAAGTTTTCCACCCAGGCCGAGTTCATGGGCACCAAAAGCCAGGAGGATGCAGAGAAGCAGGCGGCTCAGAGGACCCGGAAACATACAGATGAGCTAACCCTTGAAGTTCCCCTGTTTGGTGCCTCTCTGATAACACAAAGTGAACTTGTTCTGGAGCCTGTCAGGGGATCATCCTCATCCTTCCAAATTCCCACTGCTGAAGGCAGGGAGCAGCCTGTAAGTTCTTCCCATCTCACCCTCCTCTGTATAATAACAGCTACTACGGGGCTCACACAGGGAGGGACGGGATAGCAAAGGGGCTGGGGGTACAAAACCTTTCACCTCTGAGCAGGTTCAGATCCAGCACTGGCTGGTAGTGACCATCCAAAAGTCATCACCATATGCTGTTCAGTGAGCTGTGTGGTGTGAGTTTGGGAAGGGACACAGCCCAGGTCCCACTGGCCAGGGTAGCACATAACTCTTCCACCATTAAACTAACTGATGTTGAGAGCCCAAGGAAAGCTGCCAGCTGTGGTGCTTTTTCGTTTGCAAGGAACTGGTCTAAGACCTACCAACTTGTCTAAGGGCCACCAAAGAGCTATCAGATGGTTGCAACTACCAACCTAGGCTGGGTTCAGATACTCAGCCTGGCAAAAGGGCAAAGGCCAAGCACGTCCTTAACTCAGCAGAATCTGTGCACTTCACCTGATCCCTGCAACACCCGTGAATCATCTTTGCATGTTTGCCAGTATGGAAAACTGATCTGGTGGTGAACAACTCTGCTTCCCAGGCCCCGGAGCCATCTGGTCTCCTCACCAGTTTGCGATGGATTAGCGATTAACATAAGTCTAAAAAATATCTAGCAGGTAATTAACTTACTAGCTTAGGTTCAAGTACTTGTTTATTGAGATGGTGGTTTGCTGGAAGAACTTAGAGCATCTTAATAGGGTTGCTGCCCTAACTGAGTGGCGATGTATGGATGGAATGGAAATATCCAGGCCATTACTCATACATGGCAGGTCCTGTGAGTGGAGCACTGACAAGATCCACATGTGATTGTTGCTCATTCTCTGATGAATCTCCCCAATCCTTGGGGGTCTTTGTCTTAGCAGGTGAATGATGTCCTGAGCCTTGTGTGTGAGATTAGCAGCGTCACACAAGGTGAGTGGCTGTCTGGGCAGCATTTTTCAGTCATGTCCTTGCTCCCCAAGGGTTCAGGTGGAGGCCTGACAGTTGACGTAGAGATCTGTGGCTGACCCTCTTTCACTGGGCCTGTGGCATTAATGTGGGGAATGGTCAAGCCATTCTGTGACACACCTTGGATTGTGGGAGGGGTGGGGGACAGGCACCTAGTTTACCTGTATTAACAGTGAGGATCATAGGCGCAGACTCCGTGAGTGCTCTGGGGCTGGAGCACCCATGGGGGAAAAAATGGTGGGAGCTGAGCACCTACTGGCAGCCCCCTATCAGTTCCCCCCTCCCATTCCCAGCGCCTCCCGCCCGCCGATGGGCCCTGCCATCAGCGCCTCCCTCCCTGCGCCTCCCACCCGCTGTGAACAGCTGTTTCGCCACATGCTGGGAGGGACGGGGAGGAGCGGGGAAGCGGTGTGCTTGGGGGAGGGGGCAGAACTGCATGGGAAGAGGTGGGGTGGGGGTGGAGCAGAGGCGAGAAGAGGCAGGGTGTGGCCTTGGGGGAAGGGGTGAGTGGGGGCTGGGCCTGGGGCAGAGCCGGAGGTTGAGCACCCCCTGGCAGTTGAAAAGTCGGTGCCTGTGGTGAGGATTAAGCTCCCCTGGAGCTGAGAGCCAGGTTCCATGTGGCTAAGCACTGAAAGGAAATGCATTAGTGCCCTGTGGCAAAAGTTCCCTCTGTGCTGAGGCCAGGCAGAAGATGATGTTGCAGCTGCTCATCAGATGGGTGGGGGCAGGGGCCGTGATATGGGCCTCACTGCCTTATTTGCAGGACACCCTTCCCTCATTGGTAGACAGACTCTCACCTCCCTTTTTTGCCATCCCCAGGTCTCCCCATAATACAGCTCCCCCACTCCTTGGTGCTGTTACTTGGCTTCCAGTTGGACCCTTGCTTGTCTGGTCTCAAGAATTTCAGCCACGTGGGGGTGGAGCTGGGGGTCCCATCCCATCTGGTGAGCAAGATGTCTGGATTCAAGCAGCTCGTCGCTCACCTTGCCTCCTCAGGAGACACAGTCACTGTTCCTGCCCTGGCCCGGGTCCTACAGCGACTCCAGCGCTTCGATGCCTTGCTCCTACTCTGCGATCATTTCATTCTGAGCCGGGCCCAGGGCTGCCAACACTAGGAGAAACACACGTCGCTGCCTCAGCACATAGAGGGAGCGGTAACTCCAAGCATAGTTTTGGCTGGGTGAACCTGGGTTGTGTGGAGATGGCCTTTGAATGTTGGGGGTAGAATCACAGTAGAATGATGAGTCTGTGAGTGCTCACTGAGTAAACTTCTCTCAACCACTGCTTGAGCCCTACCTCGTGCTGGTGATGGTTGGCAGATGCATGTGGTACCTCCAAACACCACCTTTCTTCATACGTGTTTATATTGATGCCCAGAGACCTCGTGGCCCTCTTGGTCACCATGCATGGTTACAGGGCCATTTGCCTCCATGGGCAGGTGTGGATTTATAATGGACCCTCGAAGCACACAGTGTTTCCTTGAATCACATCTCAGCTGTAATGATTGAACTCATTGTGTGAGGGGCTGGGTGGGGGGTATGAAAATATCCCCCAACTCTAAGAGGGAGCTCAGCGGGTCTGGACCCTCTGTGTTGGATTTATCCCCCTCAGCTGATTGTATCTTCCTCTTAGAGGCCTGATCATCATTTGTTCTTCCCCCCCACTTTTTAGAGGTGGGCCTTCTCCATTTGGCAGACGTATTTTGCTGGTTTTCTGCTCAGCTTTCTGCTGTGGCCGCCTTTTTGTTTACTTCTCCTTTTGTGCGCCGACGAGGGGACCTGTTCTTGGAGAAGGGTTGTTTAGCTGCCACTCCTTTCTTTTTTTTGCCGGGGAGGAGGGACTCATGCGCTGAATTTCTGTGTGCCATACCAGACTAGCGGTGTGTTTAATTGTATTTCCTGGCTGTGGAATGGTACACTTTTCATAAAGGGATATTTCGAATTGAGAGTCAGGATTTTTTTAAGCATGGTGGAATTTGCTCCAATGCAGATGGCAGGGTACTTGTTGCATTCCCCAGTCTTCTTCTAAGCACCTCTGCTCCCTTGCCCGAAGGGGCTTGCTAACGGGCTCCTCTGTGCTGATGTTTGGAGGACAGCACATATTCTGCTCTTCTGCACATCTGAAGTTTTAAGAACACGTGACCCAAACAAAACCCTTGTGGGAATCTGGATGTGTAACCAGTGATGAGCTGCCAAAATCTTAACAACCGGTTCCCTCCTCACCCCACAAGGGGG